TCGGTGAGTACTAGAGTCAGTATCCTGAATCACCATGGTACACCTATAATAAGTGTTTATTTTCGGACTGTTTTAGTCTAGCGGGTCGCCTCCGCTGTGGAGTAACGAGAGACGGGAGTTTTCCCGGTGAGCCGGTAGTGTTTTGAGGCCGCGAGGGCCGGTCTGATAAAATTTATTTATTGCAAGTTCGCCATGAGCCCAAGCAAGGGTAAGAAAAAAAATGTTTTTTGTTTTTTTTTACATTTTCGATAACGGAGCGTATATTTGCAGTAAGTGCCTGTCTTTCTAGTAAATAGATGCATGTCACGGAGTAACTACAGTGGCGTAGGTCGTAGGGCGTGAGCGAAGTGCTTTAAAGCAGTTTTAGATGCGCTCGACCTGAGTTCGAATCTGCCTTTTGCCGAACTCTCTCTTCTCCCTTTTCCCAACATATGAGATGTAAAATGTATAACCTAACATAAAGGGCTCTAGTGTTATATTTTGCCAACAAACTAAAATCGAATCCATGATATGGCTTTGTGTCTATATAAAACAGCACAAGACTTTAAGAAAAGGCATCCATTTTTGCTGGGTGATTTAAAGAAAAGTGTGCACTTTGCTCACGCGATCAGCATGATTATATCTGGTGTTTTCTCCTAAATAAAAGCTCAAGGGTTTATTTCTTGCAAGTGTAGAAATATGACAAAAGTATTTTAATTTTCCTATAGTGTAATGTTGACTAAAATATACTTTTGAAATATTAATTTTCACTTATATAGTACATTTATTGGCTATATTGATTTTACATCATAGGAATAATTATATAAATCATTATTACATTATTATAATAATTGTTTAGGATCCTAAAACACCATTGATAATGTAATGTAGACTGAGACTCAACTAAAAAGATGTTTGAGCCCTCTTTATTGTCCTGGTACAAATCAATGCTTTTTCTTTGTTCAACGAGTAGTTCATGGGTTGAAGCTCTTAATTTTAAACTCTCAAAGAGCACGAGATTGATGCATTTAACCTTAAAATCTACAAAATTTTCTAGCGGGGGAGCATGCCCCCGAACCCCCCTAGAGTTAAGGTTGCCTATTTTTACTGTTGGCTGGGGAACTACCGATGAAAATTAGCTATTTTAGGTAACTCAGGTACATTTTCATTGTTCTAATGTTGATTAATGTACACTGTCCCCCTTACAAATACATAAATAAATAAATAAAATGAAGAGAGAGAGGGAGCGTGTATGGGTGTAAAATGTGGGTGGTGGCAGTGGGGCTCATTGGGTGCTCAGCACCCCTAAAGCTCTGACCCTAGAATCGCCCCTGTCACTAACAATAATAAGTTATTCTTGTGTTTGCTTGATAAAAGGCCATAACGGAGGACGTTTGCACAGTTACAGTAAAAGACAGCAGAGTTTTGATCATGTTGATCATTTAGAGGCCTTAGAAATGAGCGTATCAAAGATGATACACTGGGCTTTATTCGTGTTAGCGGCTGCATTCATTATCTCAGACACACTGTCACTCATTTACCATACACCAGATTCATTAATATTACCGCTAGATTAAGAACAGATTCATATGCTTATGCACGTGTTTTGAATTAGGCACAATTTCTGTACATATAATAATTGACTCATTTATTCAAGAATGAGAAAGTGAATGCGTCACCATCCTGTCTTCCGACTAACGCAGTGCATTTCAAATTGCATTATTTAAATTCTTGAAAGATGTGTGGGTGTTGTAAGGATATAATGATGTTTTTTTGCTCTTTAAGCAACATGGAGAGCTTTAAATTTACTATGGTCTCACATGGAGGAACTCATTCAGATTATTATGATTCATTCAGATTATTATTCATGTGATGTTTACAGAATATAATATACACATGTAATATACGCATGGACAGGTTGAGGACGTAGACGAACCACTCGCAGTTTCAGTTTTCAGAAAACAGTTTTCTGTATATGAACTATAATCATCTCTTCGCAATCTAACATTATCTTCATCCCTCCTGTCCCAGTTCCAGAGATCGGGGAGTTCATCAGCACACGTTTCTGAGTGGTATATTTCTCATGTATATTCCCCCATATCTTAGCTTCCCTGTTTGAGAGGAGTGAGAGGAGAACGAGTGCGAGGAGAAGGAGTGCGAGGAGAACGAGTGAGAGGAGAACGAGTGAGAGGAGAACGAGTGAGAGGAGAACGAGTGAGAGGAGAACGAGTGAGAGGAGAACGAGTGAGAGGATAACGAGTGCGAGGAGAAGGAGTGAGAGGAGAACGAGTGCGAGGAGAACGAGTGAGAGGAGAACGAGTGAGAGGAGAACGAGTGAGAGGAGAAGGAGTGAGAGGATAACGAGTGCGAGGAGAAGGAGTGAGAGGAGAAAGAGTGAAAGGAGGAGTGAGAGGATAACAAGTGCGAGGAGAAGGAGTGAGAGGAGAAGGAGTGCGAGGAGAAGGAGTGAGAGGAGAACGAGTGCGAGGAGAAGGAGTGAGAGGAGAACGAGTGAGAGGAGAACGAGTGAGAGGAGAAGGAGTGCGAGGAGAAAGAGTGAAAGGAGGAGTGAGAGGATAACAAGTGCGAGGAGAAGGAGTGAGAGGAGAAGGAGTGCGAGGAGAAGGAGTGAGAGGAGAACGAGTGCGAGGAGAAGGAGTGAGAGGAGAACGAGTGAGAGGAGAACGAGTGAGAGGAGAACGAGTGAGAGGAGAAGGAGTGAGAGGAGAACGAGTGCGAGGAGAAGGAGTGAGAGGATAACGAGTGCGAGGAGAAGGAGTGAGAGGAGAAGGAGTGAGAGGAGAAGGAGTGAGAGGATAACAAGTGCGAGGATAAGGAGTGCGAGGAGAAGGAGTGAGAGGAGAACGAGTGAGAGGAGAAGGAGTGAGAGGAGAAGGAGTGAGAGGAGAAGGAGTGAGAGGAGAACGAGTGAGAGGAGAACGAGTGAGAGGAGAAGGAGTGCGAGGAGAACGAGTGAGAGGAGAACGAGTGAGAGGAGAACGAGTGCGAGGAGAAGGAGTGAGAGGAGAACGAGTGAGAGGAGAACGAGTGAGAGGAGAAGGAGTGCGAGGAGAACGAGTGAGAGGAGAACGAGTGAGAGGAGAACGAGTGCGAGGAGAAGGAGTGAGAGGAGAACGAGTGCGAAGAGAAGGAGTGCGAGGAGAACGAGTGAGAGGAGAACGAGTGAGAGGAGAACGAGTGAGAGGATAACGAGTGCGAGGAGAAGGAGTGAGAGGAGAAGGAGTGCGAGGAGAAGGAGTGAGAGGAGAACGAGTGAGAGGAGAAGGAGTGAGAGGAGAAGGAGTGAGAGGAGAACGAGTGAGAGGAGAAGGAGTGCGAGGAGAACGAGTGAGAGGAGAACGAGTGAGAGGAGAACGAGTGAGAGGATAACGAGTGCGAGGAGAAGGAGTGCGAGGAGAAGGAGTGCGAGGAGAAGGAGTGAGAGGAGAACGAGTGAGAGGAGAAGGAGTGCGAGGAGAACGAGTGAGAGGAGAACGAGTGAGAGGAGAACGAGTGAGAGGATAACGAGTGAGAGGAGAAGGAGTGCGAGGAGAAGGAGTGCGAGGAGAAGGAGTGAAAGGATAACAAGTGCGAGGAGAAGGAGTGAAAGGAGAAGGAGTGCGAGGAGAAGGAGTGAAAGGATAACGAGTGCGAGGAGAACGAGTGAGAGGAGAAGGAGTGAGAGGAGAACGAGTGCGAGGAGAACGAGTGAGAGGAGGAGTGAGAGGAGAACGAGTGAGAGGAGAACGGCTGATGAAGAGTGGCTGAAGCTCCGAGAGTTCAGAGGTCACGGTCATCATGGAACTCTCAGGAGTGTCAGGAGTGAAGCCGCTGAGAGACCTAAAGCAAAGGCGAAGTGTGGTGTGACGTCATTGTGAACAAAGTGAAGTTCATTTGTGTGTGTGTGTGTGTGTATATTTTTAGCTGAGTTTACATGAGAGGTTTTCAGTCTTTGTGTGCTGGAAATGGAAAGCGGCAGCTGCCACTGATGCCCATCTTGTGTTTCAGTCTTTCTGCTCATTCACGTGTGTGTGTGTGTGTGTGTTGGGGGTCGGGAGCAGATCTTCTTGTTGTGTATCAGGTGTCATTGTCACTCAGTGTCAGTCACAGCAGGGAGGATCATCTCTGCACACACACACACACACACACACACACACACACACACACTGCAGACGTCCCGTCTCACACACACAGCAGACACCCCGTCACATACTCAATGACTGCAGACATCCCGTCACACACACACACACACACACACACACAGATGCATCACAAAGACGAGGCTGTGAACCTACAGACAAACACTCAAACAACCCAAATCAATGGACTTCTGTGGTAAGCAAAATATTCAAATATTATCTGGAAAATATTTACTTTTTGTGAAGTTGACAGCAAATCTGTCACACATTATCAATATGTCACTGAGTCTCTCTACACTCGCAAACTACATACTTTAGAATATTATAATAAACTTCTTCCATATATACTTTTGAGTGGCTTATAGTCAGTAGCTTTTGTTGCTTAAACTTTATTTAAAGGAGTAGTTCACTTTCAAATAAAGGTTTCCTGATAGTTTACTCTCCTCCTCTGCGTCATCCAAGATGTTCATGTCTTTCTTTCTTCACTGGAACAGAAATGAAGGTTTTTGAGGAACACACTCCAGGGTTTCCTCCATATAGTGACTTTAATGGAGTCCAACGGGTCGAAGGTCTAGAATATACTGTATGACCTTTCACCCTGATCACGTAATGTGTGTCACATCACAGCGAGAGCAAGACCAGCATTAGTGGTTATAAAGTATATAAATGTGTGTTTTGTTGTAAATGTCGCTGGTTTGTCTAGATCAGACTCTTATTCCTCGGCTGGATCGTGTCGAGACTTTGAAGCTGCACTGAAACTCACATCTGACCTTCGACCCGTCCACTTCAGTCAAAAGAGAACAAAGAGTATATAATATGTACATTACTATATTCTTTGTTTTGAATATTTACGCAAACAATGTCTCTTGTCATTTTTACCAGATTCATCTAAAGAATCGTCCAAAGAGAAGAAGGAGAAAGACTCTGGGAAAGATTCCACAAAAGAACCCAAGAAAGACTCTGGGAAAGAGAAGGAGTCCAAGGTGTCTTCAAAAGAGTCCAGGAAAGAGTCGAAAGACCCGGCAAAGGAGTCCTCGAAGGAGAAGGAGTCGGCCCGAGAGAAAGACCCGGCAAAGGAGTCCTCGAAGGAGAAGACGAAGGTGTCCCGGAAGTCCTCAGTGAAGGTCAAAGAGAAGAAGTCGGAGGCAGGAGACGCTGAATGAGTGTGTGTGTGTGTGTGTGTGTCCTCGTCCTCTACCAGCGCTGATTTATCTGTGACAATCTCAACTCTACTGGCTTCTTCTTACATTCCTTTTGAATTGAGGAAGAAAACAAGATGCAGAATTAGAATATTTATAAGGAACTTTGATTAAAGTTGAATGAAATTCAAATGGATGTGTAGTTTTTAATTACACGTTTAATACCATGCTGTCATTTTACAGACAACATAAGAAAACTACTGGCATTCCTGTGCTGAACTCTGGTGCGATTGCTCTGTTAGTGCGGATCAAACCAAACTAGTGGACCGAGACCCTGAAAAGATGCTCTCAATCCACTTCCAGATGAACTCTGGTACAGAACACGGACCAAAGCATCTAAACCGACCCGAAACAGGACGTGATGTCACGAGACGAGACTCTGAACAGGACATGATGTCACGAGACGAGACCCGAAACAGGACATGATGTCATGAGACGAGACCCTAAACAGGACGTGATGTCACGAGACCATAAACAGGAAGTGATGTCACGAGACCATAAACAGGACGTGATGTCACGAGATGAGACCCTAAACAGGACGTGATGTCACGAGACCATAAACAGGACGTGATGTCAAGAGATGAGACCCTAAACAGAATTTGATGTCACAAGATGAGACCCTAAACAGGACGTGATGTCACAAGACGAGACCCTAAACAGGATGTGATGTCATGAGACGAGACCCTAAACAGGACATGATGTCACGAGACGAGACCCTAAACAGGAAGTGATGTCACGAGACGAGACCCTAAACAGGACGTGATGTCACAAGACGAGACCCTAAACAGGACGTGATGTCACGAGACGAGACCCTAAACAGGATGTGATGTCATGAGACGAGACCCTAAACAGGAAGTGATGTCACGAGACGAGACCCTAAACAGGACGTGATGTCACAAGACGAGACCCTAAACAGGACGTGATGTCACGAGACGAGACCCTAAACAGGACGTGATGTCACGAGACCATAAACAGGACGTGATGTCACGAGACCATAAACAGGATGTGATGTCATGAGATGAGACCCTAAACAGGACGTGATGTCACGAGAGCATAAACAGGACGTGATGTCAAGAGATGAGACCCTAAACAGAATTTGATGTCACAAGATGAGACCCTAAACAGGACGTGATGTCACAAGACGAGACCCTAAACAGGATGTGATGTCATGAGACGAGACCCTAAACAGGACATGATGTCACGAGACGAGACCCTAAACAGGAAGTGATGTCACGAGACGAGACCCTAAACAGGACGTGATGTCACAAGACGAGACCCTAAACAGGACGTGATGTCACGAGACGAGACCCTAAACAGGATGTGATGTCATGAGACGAGACCCTAAACAGGACGTGATGTCACGAGACGAGACCCTAAACAGGACTTGATGTCACGAGACGAGACCCTAAACAGGACTTGATGTCACAAGACGAGACCCTAAACAGGACGTGACGTCACGAGACGAGACCCTAAACAGGACGTGACGTCACGAGACGAGACCCTAAACAGGACGTGACGTCACGAGACGAGACCCTAAACAGGACTTGACGTCACGAGACGAGACCCTAAACAGGACGTGACGTCACGAGACGAGACCCTAAACAGGACGTGACGTCACGAGACGAGACCCTAAACAGGACGTGATGTCACGAGACGAGACCCTAAACAGGACTTGATGTCACAAGACGAGACCCTAAACAGGACGTGATGTCACGAGACGAGACCCTAAACAGGACGTGATGTCACGAGACGAGACGTCACAAGACGAGACCCTAAACAGGACGTGACGTCACGAGACGAGACCCTAAACAGGACGTGACGTCACGAGACGAGACCCTAAACAGGACTTGATGTCACGAGACGAGACCCTAAACAGGACGTGATGTCACGAGACGAGACCCTAAACAGGACGTGACGTCACGAGACGAGACCCTAAACAGGACTTGATGTCACGAGACGAGACCCTAAACAGGACGTGACGTCACGAGACGAGACCCCTAAACAGGACTTGATGTCACAAGACGAGACCCTAAACAGGACGTGATGTCACGAGACGAGACCCTAAACAGGACGTGACGTCGCGAGACGAGACACTAAACAGGATGTGATGTCATGGGACGAGACCCTAAACAGGACTTGATGTCACGAGACGAGACCCTAAACAGGACGTGATGTCGCGAGACGAGACACTAAACAGGATGTGATGTCATGGGACGAGACCCTAAACAGGACGTGATGTCGCGAGACGAGACACTAAACAGGATGTGATGTCATGGGACGAGACCCTAAACAGGACAGAATTCTAAACACACATACACACACACACTACAGAC